AAAGATTAAGGAAAAGCAAACACAAAACTGCGGCCGAAAATGAAATCGAAAAACTCCAACTCTGTGCATCACGTAAATATACACACGAAAACGCAGTATGCGCAAAACAATTTTAGTAATTCAGCCGCTTGAGAAATATCGGAAACGAGCTTTTGTGGCTGTCAAGGTTATTGTTTACCTCGAGAGAGACAATTGTCCATTGTGTCATAAATTATATATACGTCAATACTATTTATATACATTGTTTTGCACGCCAACTCGTGACGTCACAGCTCTCTCATCGTTCACCGTGCGAGCGAGTGGCTGATATTGTATTTCATTCGTTAGTTGGTTAACAGTGTGGTTCAGATAGCGATGGCAACATACAACTTCTCAGCCTTAGTTTTATTTACTGTGGGATTTGTTTTGACCATTGATGTTTCCTTTCGCGACAGGAGATTCTTCATTCAAGGTAAGGTCAGACGTGTAACAGAGAAACCATAGAGAAACATTCCAAACCCGCGACGTGTATAAAATTAGTTTGCCACAACTCGTTTACTAGTGATGAAGTCTTTGAAATTTTGTCTTGTGAATAACTTATTACTACGACCGACTGTGTTTAACTTCAAACTGACTGACCCTTTTGTTTTTGTTCTAGGTGCGTCAGGTTTGAGCGAGAAAGATTTGGTTCAACATGTCCTGGATAGTACCAACCCTAATGTTCGTCCAGTGAAGACGCCATCAGATGCCGTGAACGTCACGTTGGATATTACTTTTCACGGCGTGATAGACATGGTTAGCAATATTTTATTTTCTCTTGGCCTAGATATTATATATTTCCGTGAGACTATGCTCTGTTCCGTTAGAAATCAGCTTTGCATGAAACTGAGGAATAAGCTTGACGTCAGAACAACTTCCTGTTTTCAAAAGATTTTAGCGAGTTGTCTCCATTCTTGAAGTAGCGGAGGACTTCATGGACAGATACATGCGGCCAATTGAAGCGAACAAAACTATTTAAAACTAAACAACTATTGATATTCAATAGGCTGCGCTTTTGCGCTTTCCGTGAATTTTCTTGAGTTCCGTGTAGTAGTTGTGCATTCTTTGCAACGGAATATGTCTCTAGTTTCATTGATATTTAACAGAAACATGTGAGATTCCCATGCAGGTATTTTGTTACATGTTTTAAGGTACCAGCCTTGCCAGCGGCGACTGACAATTAACATATTGTCTACATTTTCCAGAATAACAAAACGGTGGAAAACTACTTAGCAGTAATTTTCATAACATTTAACAAGCGATGAGGGCCCG